GATTGAGGCAGCACTGAAGGCATTCAGTCATCTATGCCAAAAAATTTGGAAGACAGCTACCTGGCCAACTGATTGGACTTATGCCCATTCCAAAGAGAGGTGACCCAAGAGAATGTGGAGATCTTTGGATAATATCATTAATATGCCACATAAGTATAATTTTGCTAAATATAATTCAAAACAGTCTGCAAAAGTACATTGACAGGGAACGGCCAGAGGTTCATGATGGATTCAGGTGGGGATGTGGAATTAGGAATATCATTGCTGATGTCTGATGGATCTTGGCTGAAAGCAGAGACTATCAGAAGGATGCTTACCTGTGCTTTATTGACTACGTAATAGCTTTCGATTGTATGGATCATGACAACCTATGGATAACATCGCAGAGAATAAGTATTCTGGAACACTTACTTGTGCTCATGAGAAACCTGTACATAAACCAAGAGGCTGTCGATCGAACAGAACAAAGGGACACTGAATGGTTTTAAACCAGGAAAGGTATGCACAAGTGTTGTATTCTTTCACCATACATAGTCAATCTGTATTTTGAGTAAATAATCCAGAAGCTGGAGTATATGAAGAAGAACATGGCATCAGGATTGGAGAAAGATTCATTAATAATTTGTGATATGCACATGATACAACTTTGCTTCCTAAAAGCTAAGAGAACTTAAATTACTTACTGATGAAGATTAAAGACCTCAGACTTGGTATGTGTTGCACCTCAATGTAAAAAAAAAAAAAAACAAAAAACTAAAATCCTCACCACTGGACCAATAAATAACATCAAGACAAATGGGTAAAAAAATTTAAGTTGTCAAAGAATTAATTTTGCTTAGATCAACCATCAACACTCGTGGAAGCAGCAGTCAAGAAATCAAAGTATGTATTGCATTTCTGTTGCACAAGACCTCTTCAAAGTGTTCAAGAGCAAAAGATGTCAGTTTGAGAGGTAAGGTGTGACTGACCCAAACCATAGTATTTTCAATAGCCTCATATGCATGTGAAAGTAAGACAGTGAATAAAGATCATGGAAGAATTGATGAATTTGAGTTATAGTGTTGGAGGAGATTATTAGAAGTACCATTGTCTGCCAGAAAGGAGCTCTGGTAGCTTAGTGGTTACGAATTGGGCTGCTAATCTCCCAGTCAGCAGTTAGAAACTACCAGCTGTCCCGTGGGAGATTTCCCCATGTTCCCATGAAGATTTACAGCCTCAGAAACCCTGTACAGGGTCGCTGTGAGTGGGAACTGACTCCACGGCACATAACAACAACAACATTGTCTGCCAGAAGAACAAACAAATCTGTGTTGAAAGTACAACCAGAATGCTCCTTACAAGCCAGATGGCCAGACTTCATCTGTCATATATAATATCAGAAGGGACCAGTCCCTGGAGAAGGACATCATGCTTAGAGGATCAGTGAAGAATAGGAACACCCCCGCAACAAGATGGATTAACAAAATGGAAGCAGCAGTGGGTTTAAGAGTAGCAACAATTGTGAGATTTGCACGAGACTGGACAGTGTTTCCTTCTGTTTTGCATAAAATAACTATGAGTTGTTACCAACTTGACAGCAACAACAAGAAGAACAGAAATTACATACCCAGAAGGCTTGTCCTTTCTGGGCCTAAATCCACACCTTCTCATTTTTTCTATTTGCTTTAAACGTCACTTTTCTCAAGAGCAAATTTCAGAGTCTCTTCTAACATCCGTTTTTGTCTTTTCTTTCTTATTTCTTAATGGCCTTTTGTTTTTTTCCTTATGATGTTCTTGATGTCATCCCACAACTCTTCTGGTCTTCTGTCATTAGCTTCTACTGCATCAAATCTGTCCTTGAAATAGTCTCTAAATTCAGGTAGAATGGGCACAAATACTTAATGTCTTATTTTAGCTCTTGTGGACTTATTTAAATTTTCTTCAGGTTCAGCCTGAAGCTGATCAACGGATGGTCTGTTTCACAGTCTGCCCCTGGCGCTGTATGGCTGATGATATTGAGCTTTTCCACCATCCCTTCCCACAGATGTGGTAAATTTGATTGCTGTGTATTCCATCTGGTGAGGTACATGCTATCTGTTACAGTGTTTAAAAAAGTATTTGCAATGAAGAAGTCATTGGTCTTGTAAAATTCTATCATGAGATCCCCAGTGTTCTTGCTATCCTAATGTTATGTTTTACAGTTACTGGTCCTTCCTCTGTGTTTTCAACCTTCACATTACAATCACCAGCAATTATCAATTTATTTTGATAGCATGTTTGAGCAATTTCAAACTGAAGAAGTTGGTAGAATTCTTCAATTTCATTATTGCAGGCTTTAGTGATTGGTGTGTACATCTGAATAATAGTGACATTAACTGGTCTTTCTTGTGTATTATCCTATCACAGACAGTCCTACACTTCAATATAGATCTTGAAAAGGTAATCTGAAGATGAGTGGGACAGCCAGTCCTTTCCTGTCATAGTAAACCAGATGACTATCCGATTCAAAATGGCCTATACCAATCCATTTCAGTTCACTAATATCTATGATATTAATCTTTATACATTTCATTTTGACAACTTCCAATTTTCCTAGATTCATACTTTGTACATTCCATGCTCCTATCATTAATGGATATTTGCAGCAGTTTATCCTCATTTTAAAGGAACTCTGGTAGTGTAGTGGTTATGAATCGGGCTGCTAACCTCAGGGTCAGCAGTTTGAAGCTACCAGCTGTGCCACGGGAGACAGATGATGGATCTTGGCTGAAAGCAGAGAATATTAGAAAGATGTTTACCTGTGCTTTATTGACTATGCAAAGGCTTTCGATTGTGTGGATCATGACAAGCTATGGACAACATTGTGATGTATGAGTATT